AAAGACAAATACCCTATGATTGCACTTATATGTGGAATCTAAAAAATGAATAAAGATGAAAAGCAGAAACAGACCCATAATACAGAAAACCATCTGGTGGTTGCTATAGAGGAGGGGGTTGGCAAAAAAGGGTAGGGGGAGCACCCGGGTGGCTTAGTCGGTTAAGCAGCTGCTTTTGGCTCAGGTCATGGTCTCAGGGTCCTGCATCAGGCTCCCTGCTCAGCAGGGAGCCTGCTTCTCCTCCCTCTGCCCCTTCCCCCGCTTGTACTTTCTCTCTCTCTCAAATAAAATCTTTTTAAAACATGGGGAGAGAGGGGAGTGGGAGGTATAGACCTCCACTTACGGAATAAGTCACGGGAATACAAGGCAGAGCATAGGGATTGTAGTCAAGGATATTGTGATAGCACTGCATGGTGACAGAGGGTAGCCACACTCATGGTGGGCACAGCCTAACTTGTAGAGTTGTCCAAACACTGTGTTGTACACCTGCAACTGTTACATTGTGTTATCTGTACTTCAGTAAAAAAAGAGAAAAAGATACATTGAGATATACTGTCATTAATTTTTATAACACCAGAGACAGAAAGATGATGATGAGACAGACTTATGGACATACAAGGAGAAAAATCATATCCACTGGAGTAGAAAACAGAATGACATCTGAATTTCTAGCAGCAAATTTTGAGGGGAAAATCATTTCCAAATAAGAATTTAATGCCTAATGAAACCAATCAGGCTGAGAGTGAACTAACGACATTTCAGACACCCAAAATCTTTAAAAGGTCACTTTGCAGACACTCCTTCTAGCCCTGAGGCTCTGAGAGATGCCGCACATACTACTCTATGTTGCCTTGGTCTTACAGCGTCTTTTGATAGCACAGTGATCAGCGGACAAGCTAGTGAGCACTTGGTAGACAGCGCTCTGGATTGTCACTATATCAGAGCTCTGCATATTGCACAGGCCTTTTTGGTCGCTGAAACAAAGATTTTCCAATCTCACATGATGACTTCACACAGGCAGGGCTTAGAGGACCGCATGCACTCGTTGGTCGCTGTTTGAGGCTACGGCTGTGTTAATTCCAGCAAGGTTAGCTGTGTCTATGGAGCTGTCTACAGTGTCAGCTCAGCTAAAACAAAATAAAAAATATGACCACTTTATGGAAAGACATCTTCAGCAAAAATAAAAATTCTTTCTCTCTCAGTCTATATGATCAGAAGTAGGCATGCACTGGGTCAGCACTCAGCTCTTAGACGGTGTTTAATAACTGTGGACTGGCCAACTGCTGAACTCACTGACCAAAGACTGCATGAAGGTGAAGAGAATTACATGATTGGTTATCTTTCCTAATTCTGCAGTGAGAGCAGTATGGGAAATGCACATAGCAAATGGCCATGAAGACCACCCTAATTCACAATGAAATCAATGTATAGAATTGGAGAAAAGTATAAAGAAGTGCATAGAAGAATAAAAGACTAAATTCTGACCTTAGCCTATGGAGGACCAAGCTGTACTTTATATAAGCCAATTTAAGTAGGATCTGCAGAAGATAATAAATCCCAGAATAAGTTGCCTGAAATGTCATGTTGTAATTTCACTATCTTTTTAAAACTCTGGGTCTTGTGTTAAAAACATAAATTACATTTAGGTCACTTGTACCTCGGTGTGAGTAAGTTTCAGGTCCATTTACAGGACAGATACAGGATAGAGCACAGAGCTTGGTGCAAATGGGCAGAAATGGGCATGCAAACAAGGACTGAATGAGTCAGAGATGGGCAGCGAGGGTGCAGGTCCATGGACCTCCAAAGTATCAAGCTCCCCTCACATGCTGGGGGGCCATCCAGTGATCTAAAGCTGCAATGAATTCTTATCATGAAAATCAACTGGTAAGAAAAACTTTGTTGAGAGGAGGAATAGTTACAGGCAGGTGAGGTAGGATTTGTCTGGCTTCCAAATGCTTATTAAACATGTTGCCAAAACCCCCAGGTTGTATATCAACCAGCTGGGGATTAATTTAGATTTGTGTGGAATCTAAGCTTCCCTGTCTGTCCTGAGTTGCTGAAGAAAGGAATTGTTAGGCAGAGCTTTGGAGCCAGCGCAGGGACTCGGACTTAATAAAGCATTTCAGAGGGGATCAGAGGTTCTGGGGTGATCAGGGTATAAATTCCTAATCTCTGTATACACATTTGATCATTTGTTCAGCCCCACAACTCATCACCACCAGGCATGCTGTGTGAAATATTTCCCCTGACCTCCCACACAGCCCCACCCGTCACTCATTCAGATTGGCCTATTGGAAATCGTCTGAATATTGCACAAAGGCTGCTAAACCCTGGATAGCACAGGAGCTTGAATCAATTTACCCTTCTGTGCTCTCATTTATATTATTGAAATTTAAAACTTCATTTAGTTTATTAATGCCAAAATGGTTATCTGGAAAAGAATAAAGCCCCATAGAAGCTGCTGTCTTTGTCATTTTAGCACAGTGAATGGGAGATGTATTTAAAATGTCAGGAGATCAAGTCATTGTGAAGAGTTTCCTACCAAAGTGCAGTGAATTATTTAAAAGTCCCGGCATCACAAGCAGCTAGTGCACCTTCTTGCCAGTCAGGTACAATTACTTCCGTAGATGTCAACTCAGTGCTCATTCTTACTGTCAGAACATCTCAAGTACAGCAAAATATAAAGACCTTGGTGTGTCAAAGCGTGAAGAAAATCGAGGGCTTAACATAGGGAGAGAAGAATGCAGCTCATGTGGAGTCCTACCTATTTCCTGGGCCTTTAAGGAACCTTGTTTGAAAGATTGGGGTTATGCTTTATTTTATAATTGGTAAGCGTGAACTTTATTGCTCTGGTTCTTGACTTTTGTACTAAGATCCACAGTCCTCATTTCTCCATGGACCCTGTAGAATTTACTCCTTTGGATTTTATCATATGTTTTCCTGTATGCTGTCTTGCGTTGCTGCTAATTTGTTCCTGTAAGTATTTCTTGCCCTTTTAGTTCTATATTAACTTGTTCTGCACATCCCCACGCCCTCTCCTCCATTCAGAGGACTATTAGGGCATGTCACCAGCATCCGATACGTTTGTTGATTGACATCATTGATACCCAGATATCACACTGATGACTGTTGTATTTGAGCTAAGCTAAATTATTGTGGAATTCAATGCTAAATTTAACTATTGTTTAGGGAAATTTACATTTTACTTCTGAAGTAACTGATTATATGTTACATGTAAAGAAAATTGACATCTGTAAAAACAGAAATCAAAGTGTGCCAATGACTTTCATTCTGTCAATGCCTTACCTACATCTCAGTTTTGTGAAAGAAGGAGATCTTAGTGTAGTCTTACTATTTATTGTAGGGCTGAGCTTGACTAGCAGTTAACAAATCTGGATTCTAGTTCCAATGCCATCGCTGTCCGGCTGCGCCTATGAGCAAATCACTCCAACTTATTCTGGACTTACTTTTACCTTTCATAAATTTGTCGGAGAAGAGCATGTTTAGATTTTTAGATAGGGTTATATGGATGAAATAAGGTATCTGAAAGAATTCTGAAATATCAGAATGAGCCTCATTTCTTTATACCCCAAGTTAGTGTAGTCATTGTATAATTCTTTTAAAGAAATGGTCAATTAAAACTTTAAACAAAAATCCTTTATAAAGCAGAATGGTAGAACTCCCATTTGTAAAAGTAAAGAGAGATTGCTCCTACTGTGAGAGTTCTTAGTGCTACCAACTGTTATTTTCAGACATTTGTAGCCATTACGAGTCAAAGAATGATTTTCTCCCTTCCTAGTGTAAAGGTGCTAGTGACCTCGCACTTGTACATATCCTCTGTGCTCCTCGCGCCCCCGCCTTTCCGACCCCGCCTTCTGTCACCATGGGTCCTCCTCCCTGGCCCACCTCTTAACACGCACAACTTGCGTCTGCTGTTAACATCCGCCTGTCTTAGGAACAGGAGTTGTTTTTAGGAAAAAGGGGATGATGGGTTTGGCTCCAAACAGAAGTCTAAACATTAAGTTTAGTATTTCAAAACTTCATCTGGCCCTACTCTCTCAGCTTTCACTCTCGCTCTCTTCCCCCATTCCGTAAGGCTACCAAGCGGTTGGACATGTGCTGATACTGAGCCTGAGTTTCTGTATTACCTCTGGGCTTTTGCTTGTTTGCTTTTCAGTCTTTATTTTATGCTTCTTTCATTCCCTGTTTCTGTCTCTCTTGATAAAACATGGTGTTCTGTTCAACATTATATTCACAAGAGTGCTTAGGAGATTGTTCTTGGGCAATGAGAAGCAGTCCATAAGAGCTGTTGAATTAAAGTGAATTGCTGGGCCACGTTTTGAGGTCTGGGTATCAAATTTAACATGTCAGGGACCTGGACAGAGAGTAAGTCTCTAGTGTTAGTGTGCTAGAAAAGAGTCTCTAAGTGTGACTAAAAGGGAAGAGTCATGCTGTCTGACCAATAAATGCTGGAGCTCACAATACACGAACTGCTAGAAATCAGTCACCCATGGCAGACATTCCAAGTCATGAATGTTATTCTTCAATGCTCAGGAATTGTTTGATGTCTTTGACACACAGGATACGCATTTAAAGCCCATGGGGAGTCTATAGAACATAGGAGGTGTGCTTCAGAATTTAGGTAGGTTTTAAAAACAGAAAGGGTAAATACTACATGTTTGAATAAAAATTTCATTATACAGTCTCCATCTTTTGTTTAGAAAAAAAATCAAACTTGAAAAAAACATTTCAAGTGGGACAAGGCACAGCTGCTATTATTATTATTATTATTATTATTATTATTATTATTATTACATGAAGGTATCTTTCTCAAGAAACATTTCCTAGCATTTGGAGCCCTGTGAAGGCCACATCTGTACGAAGAAATAAGGGTGTTAACTTGAACTTTGTCATTGATAGGCTTCCCAAGCCTTTAAATTTTCTATCCATTCATTCTCATCTGCCCTGCCTATTTGATTCACATTGTATTTTCTCCTTAGATTATTAAAACGGGAAGACAGTTTCACATTTATTCCTCGGTCCCGTGAAGAGCTTCCAGATAACTTTCCAAAGGAAATCCCTGGGATCTGCTATTTCCTGGAGGTAAGGACTGGTCCTAAGCAGCCAAAGCCTTCTCTTTCTTCCTCGAGGATAAAAAAAGTTTCCTACAACATTGGCACCATGTTCCTCCGGGAGACAAGCCTCTGAGACCTACCGCAGATCAAAGACTCCTCCAAAAAGCACAAGCCCAGAACATTGGGTCATGACAGGAGAGTGGAATGAGATGGTTTCTCCTTCACTACTTGGCTGAGAACAAGCAGCGGAATTTCTGTGTTATGTTAGGCAATAATCCTAGAAAAAGGTGGATGATGACTGTCAATTAAAAAAAAATGGAGGGGGGGTAATGAGATGTGTCCATCCATGTGAGTGTTTTTTGGTCATATATATATATATACATATATATTTTAAGTACGGGCCCCCTTCACAACTAATAAATAGATTCCATGTTTTCTTGTTTGTCACACATACAACTATCTTTCCCCACTTATCTGTATCACTTTTGAGAGCCATTTTTGATGATATATTCCTACATTTAGTGAGTTGGTATGTGAGGACTATTTTCTAATTTTGTTTTTCTGAACAGACATTTCATATATACGTCATGGCAGTGTGGTCAACTTCCCAGCAGGAAGAACTGTAACTCAGCAAAATATTTTAGGGATATTACCTATTTTTATACATCTCTCTACTAGATAATTACATTTCACACAACATTACTCGATTTTCAGAATCTGCTACTGTGTAGTTGGTATATTTAATGTAACTGTAACCTATTAATCAAATATACTTTCACTTATTTAGATTAGTGCTTGGACTGAGAATACATAACCAAGGACTTCAGATGCTGAGAAAGCATTGTATGTCTGCTTAGTAAATATATCTTTTAGATTTAATTAATGTAGCATGGAATCCAGAGGAAATAGAATTTCCCAGTAAGAGATTTATCTGTAACTAGGATTACAGAAAAGTCTTGTTGCCATCTTCTAACAAACGTCAGTTAAAATGAAATGCTTTGCTACATTGGACCCTTTTCAACTTAGCACTTATAAAATAGGTAGTTTGTACAATGTACTCAACTATATTCTAAAAATTTCCATGACTTGTTACCCTTCCCCCCACCTCTGCCCACTCCGCCCACTCTGCCCCCTGGATGCTTCCTAAGGGCTACCTGACACTGGGAGCAAATTCCTAGATGTTGGCGTTAGTGAGAAAGAGGTTGTGGGACGTTTTGCCGAGAATGTTGTTTCTTGAGAAATAAGGGGGAAAAAAACCTGTGTTTTATGGCTTTGAGGTTTAAAAAAAAAAAAAGAAAGGAATTTTTCTTCTGCAGTTTGATTGATGTGGCTCTTAAATTCAGTGAATCACCTTCATGAACACTGAAGTAGGTCTAACCTCCAGGCCCAGTCATTGCCATAGTGACAGATAGGCTTCTATCGCATGTGGTGCTAAAATGAAGACCAAGACCTGTTCCCACTAATTAGCACTGCATGAAAATATCATCACACACTCACCCTGAAATTAGGAGCACAGTACATCCAGAGTTTTCCTATTTTGGATCTAATCTAAAACCCAAGTTTCTACTGAGGTTAATGAACTGGAAATATTTGTTTCCGTGAAACCTTGGAGTGGCCGTTTTTCTCCAGACGGTATACTCATTGAGAGCTTATGTCTACTGAATGTAATAGAGTGATTTCTCTGGTCAGGCATTTTGGCTGCGTTATGATTTATTTATGCCGTAACTCAGCTACGGAGCGTATTAACTGGTGTCCAATGTAGTCTGTGAGGCTTGTTAGTGTTTTTAAGTTCTCTAAGTGTGTAGCTAGAAAACATTTATCGATATGCAAAGTATTTGTTATAATGGTGATCACTTCTGTAAGTGTTGAACTCTGTGTCACCCCAAGGCTTATGAGGACACTAATGCAACACATAGTTTGGAGACAGGATCTAGACCATGAGCTTTCTGAAGCCTTGCCTATATCCCTCTCCTCCCTCGGTCTAGGTCTCTGTTTTTAACAACGCGGGGGGCCAGAAGGCCAGTGTGTTTATTTGAGGGGAGTTTTATAGACCGGGGACAGGGTGCTCTCATGGGGGTAATTATAAAGGAATTTCTTCAGAGCCCTGGGGAATTAATGCACTTCCTTCACGGGGAACGAGGGGGAGGTTTACAGTTGCTGTGGACGGAACAGGCTGGGAGCACCTCAGTCCTCACACTGAAAACAGACAACACTTTAGCCAGGTGCTCTGTACAGCACAGGAACATGGGGAGAGAACCCAGCTTCACCGAAATAATTTATGCTTATTTTGCATAGGAACTTAGAGATTATGATAAACTAAATAAATGTTTTGGTGGTAAGCAATGTGTTTCATAACCATAAGGCGGCAAGGGACTTAGAGTAATCATCCAATCTATTTCTCTGCTTTTTGTGAAGATTTGTCTAAGTAACTATTCTAGATATATCATCATTCTCTCTATACTTTAAGAATATCTGTAGGAAGCATATTTTAAAAACATCATTGAAAATCCACTTCATTACCCAGTAATTGGTAATAGGGCCCAAGACACTAATTGTATATACATTCAATTTGTCCAAAGAATAACAAACTCTTTTAGTTTATATGGTTCTACTTAGAGAAGAAGTAGCCATTTACATTGTCACAAATATTACAATGAAAAATATACCAGAGATCTATCATATATCACAGGATATAAACTACACTTTTCAAACAATGTAATCTAAATGTATCCTTGAAGCTACAGTCTGAGGCAATAGTCTAATCTGTTACCATATTGCCAACCTCCTGCAGCTGATTCTTAGTTACACTGTTGCTGTGTCTTTGCAAGTTGCTGCTAAGGTGGCTGTTCATCCTCACCGCACTCACAGAAGTTAGAAGCTGTGAAAAACTATTATATTTGTATTTGTCCTACGTAATACAGTCTACATATCCTCCATTTAGGAACTGTGACTGCAACCCTGGGTCATAGTATTTCATTTGACTAATATCTGTACAGTATTCTTACCTAAAAATTATTGCAAACATCATGCATTGTAGTGTGGCACATTAGAAAGAATGTAAATGGATGTCCTATTAGAAATCACAGTGATATTAAATTAGGGAAATGGCTTTAACCCACTCTAAAAGGGAAACATTAAAATATAATTTGGTACTTACAACTCCTCTGGTTTAGTGTTTTTTTTTTTTAAGGCAACTATTTTGAAGTCACTTTATGACTAGGCATCAGTACCAGAGATTCACATTGGCATCAGTATTATTTTGATAGAAACAAAGTCATTTGCAAATAAGCCAGTTATCCAACAAAGTCACATATGTACCCCCAAACAGTGCACAGTATGTGCTTTGGGAATCTTAATAAATAGGTACCATTTACCATAATAAAAAAAGAAGACTCCTCAATGCCTGCAGAACACGAATTATTGCGTCTCTCCACCATATAGCATGGTATATAGCGAGGGAAAGAAGATAAAGCTTCTATGTAATAGGTGACCAAACTGTCTAAAACCTGCCTTGATATTCATTTCTTCTACTTTAAATTATTTTGGATTTCCCTTTTAATATATGACTCTGTGGAGTCCAGTGAGCCATGACCTATTAGGACTCTGAGGCAGGCACCTCTGCCTGAGACTTAAGAGTGGGACCACGGGTTCAGCACTTCAAATGTGAACTCTCACAGTCTCACGCTTGGTTCTCCTGTCCAGGGATAGCTCTGGTTATCTGATACTGTTATCAGAGACATAGTGTTCTGTTGTTAAAGTGCAAAGCGTGCCTCTCTGGAAAACACAGAGCAAAGCAAGGCAACAACTTAGACAAAATCTTTCACAAGTGCAGCCAGGCTTTTAATTTTGTAAAATGCTCCAAAGATTTCCAGCAATAAAGCAAAATTAAATTGACATATACAAAAGGCAAAGCCTCGGAGTTTGGAAAACCACCAAACTCTGTGTTTTGTACAGAAATATTGCTGCCAATTGATATCACATATTTGAGGTTGTGAGATATCAAGGAAATCAAAATCACGATTGTAATTAGATGTATTCACTGAAGGCTCCTTGGGATCCTGGCTTGCCGAGGGAAGGTGTTATGGATCATTAGGGCAGAGAATAAAACTTGTACACGTAGGTTTCTGTCTTCTCAAGCGTTTTGAGCGCTACTGAGCCCACGCCTACTCCGTGCTGGCGGTGGAAGCCATCTCACCCCCTCAAACCCGGCCCCAACAACACTAGCCTCTCTGCAGCTCTGACCCTAACGTGGCCACGGCAAGAGTTGCTGACCTCAGGCAGACAGGAAGACCCATGTAACAATGCACTTCTGAAGCGGATGAACCATTCCCAGTTGTGCTGGGGCATTGCTAACATCTGAAGCTTTTCTCTGTGCTTTTTCTTCCAAAAACCACTCTGACTCCAAGCACTTAGTGTAACTACCGAAAATTCATTCGAAGTGAATTATATATGCCCCTGAATAGGCTTTAGGGGACACCAGAGGCCTTTTAGCCAACAATGCCTAGAAACTCAAGTCCAAGAACCAAGAACCAATCAATAGCAACCTAGGTATTATTATTAGGTTACAGATCCTCAACTATAAAAATTATGTTATTTCAGGGGCTTCTATAAGCCTATGTTACCAGATACAGCTGGAAAAACATGGTGCATGAGAGACTGAGTAGTGAGAATTTAACATATGCCAGTCTGAGTGACGATTCCTTATGGGCAGCTGTCGATATGCATATGCTTCCTTCACAGCAGCTAATTTCATATCTACATAAAGTGTTAACACACATGACTGAACAAACCTTACTGTTACAGGGATAAATTGGCCCCAGCAGTGGACTCAGTTTGAGGGTCCTCGAGGTGGTGAATGAAGAACAGACACTGCTATTATATACAGATGAACATAAATCTTGTCAGAATACACTGAGATAGTGTGCAAAATTCCTTCCTCACACTTGAAACCTAAGTATTACTGTCCTGCCACCTTTGTTTCCTTCCTTTGTTCCTTTTCCCTTTCATTAAAAAAAAAAGTCAGTGATACAGTCAATCTCATGTTGTAAAATAGTTTCAGTTTTCTAAAGTAATGAATCCTTTTTGTGGGTGGATGTAGGGATGTGTGCATGTAGATATTACATGTTTAAAAGGAGTGACATTTTGGAAGGGCCTGGAATGTTGAGAAGTTTGCATTTTTATTTCCAGTATGTTGTGACCAGAACACAACTTCAGTCAAGTGCTTCATTGTATTCCCATCCTTATTAAGAAATTATCCTGTTCAATGGTTCAGCTCATCAGCATGACAGTATCTGGCTGCCCCTGTAAGAATTACCTAGGAAGCCTTCAGAAATACAAATTACTGAGCTTTACACCTGCAAAGATTTGGATTCAGTAGGTGGCAGGTGTGGCCTAGGAGTCTGTATTTAGAAAATCACTCTAGGTAATGAGAATATAAAGCCAGATTTGGGCATCACTGAAGAGCATTCAAATAATCCCAATTACCAGGAATAAAAGCAAGTTGACTAAGAGAGTGGTGTATTATTTCATTTGTAGTTATTTTGAAAAGCGAAGTATTCTGAGCTTTGTAGCATTATTTCTTTCACAAGTTTTAATTTTAGCTTTGGTCTCAAATTTACAGTCTGCTTTTGGAGCAGGAGTCTTCAAACTTATTAGAAACAGAAGTCAACACTAATAAGCATGAGGAAAGAATATTGCTCATTATAGGGCTATTAGGCGCAGTAGACACAGTACCATTTTCTGAGTTACCA